TAAGGTAAATGTAATTCAATTTTTATTTGTATCTTGAATTAGTGATTGCACATGGTATGAAGAATGTAATATTTACTATCTTTTTAAAAAACACATCCAGTCTACCACTACCATGAAAGATTCTTTTCCATATGTAGCAGTAGGGATCTAGGATATAAGGTCATTCAAACCCGGTAAATTTCACAGTAAATAATCTCTAAAATGAATTATATTAAAGCATGTGAATTAGTATGCTCTTTCTATTCCTAATTATTTTTTCTCCACATTTGAAATGATGATTTTGCATAATCATGACCAGTGCCTATGTTGGCACCTGTGATAAAAAGTAGATATTAATAAGCATAAGAAAGATTTTTAAGTTGTAACATTTATCTCAGATATTTATGTTTTAAGCTCTGCTATTGAAGTCACTACACATTTGAGTGCTTCACAAAGGTGTATTATTGGGCCAATATTTTTCTCCATGTTGAAATATTTTTAACATTGGGGTAGGCAGTGAGACCTAGTGTAATCCCAGCTTCTCATGAGAGAAGCAGGAAAACTTATCTCTTTAAATAACTGATTTTATTTCAATTATAACATCCAGCCTATTGAGTAATTGCACTGGAGTGTTGTATATTGTGTCACACTTTATGTGATGCTCATAACACTTATGTGATCAGGACTGCATTTACAAAATACATAACATATTGTATATATATATTTAATTTTCTCAGACCTTTAAAATTATATTGTATTTTGTAGAGAACAATCATTTATGTCATAGAGTAGTGAACATGAGTGATAAATTCAAAGTTACTTATGTGTACCACTAATGTTTTTCCTCTCATTTTTGTCATTACTTCTTTGTTTTGTTTTTTGATTTGTATGGTGGGGATTGATACCATTTATTTTGCAAACTAAATAGCTGCTTTGCCACTAAGATTCACCATCAGTCTTCTATCATTTTTTAAATTTTATTGGCTGTTTTTATTTTTTCATGAACTTGGGATTCATTTAGATACAATTATGAAATTACAGATTATTTTTTTGCTCTAGTTCGTGTCCCTGTACTTTACTTTTCCCTTTTGACTTTCTTCCCCTGTTCCTAGGTCTCCTTTCCCCTCATCTTCTATTATTTTGTGCATTTATTTGTTTATCTTGTCTATTATATACTCTATAATACTCTTGAGAGTATTCATGTCAAAGCACCTTAAACTTACCTAGAAAGCATTGATGGAATGAGTCTGTTCAATGATTTTTAACCTTTCCTACATTTTTTATTGTCTTCTGCCATTCCTACTCACTATCCCAATATTTTAGAAAAACATAGACCCTATTTAAGACTTACCACCCTCTCTTGTAATTGCTTTCATGCTCTCATTCTTAATATCTCTCTGGATAGTATGCTCATATTTTAACTCTCAGCTTAGGACTACTTCAAGCAAAATCATCTCCCCATTCCATTTATCTACATTAGCACTTACCAAGGACTCGAAATATAATTAAGGAGTCAAAGAAATAAAGGCTGAGTACACAAAGGTGACTGAAAAGATTTTCTCCTGTTCACAAGTAAAAGAAATTTACATGTCGAGAAATAATTTACAGTTTAAGCCATAAAGGTGTAGACATATGCTGAAGTTTGCCCTTAGGAAAGAAGCTCCTTTTTATTGAGAGAACAACAGCCCAAATTAAGTACCAGTTCAGAGAACACCACATTTTTAAAGTAGAAAAGAAATTTGTCAGAAATGTGGACAAACAAAAGGGACAGAGTGTTCATTGTAAAGGAGTAAAAAGTACCAGTCACTTTAGAAACCATTACAGATGCACAGGACTTGATTAAAACTTACTATTAGGAAGTAGAGAATAACGTAGAGTGTGAATTTTTATGTTTTTATGGCACTGAAAAGTTTTGTTTCTGAGGATTCGTCGTTTTATGTTTAGTGGGTGAATTTGTAGATGAAAGTTTGGGGTATTTGTTGCACTGAAGCTCACAATATCCAATTCTCCCCAAGGGTTAGTTGAAGTTTGGGGTCAGTAGAAATATCTTCTAAGGAAGTCAAGTCTCACTGGCTCAGCAGAGCACATCTATATAGGCCCAGGTGTTCAGGTGGCTGAGGCCATGTGGATGGCTGGTTTTAGGCTATTTTGGGCACCTCAGAGAGACCCCATTCCCAAATAAAATAAAAAAGACTAAAGCACATGAATCTCAGCAGTTGAGAGTGTGCTAAGAATGCAGTGGAATGAATGTGACATAGTTTTCCTGGGTATATATGTGAAAACACCATGGTGAATCTCACCATTGTATACATCCACAAATTGACATCCTAATTAGAATAAGATGTAGCGCATATGATTATATAATAATACTAAAATAAATCTGCCTGAAAAAAGTATGCACAAGGCATTGGTTTTAGTACAAAGTACTATATTATAAATAATAACTATGCAAGTAATGTTTAAATTCAATTTTTAATTCATAAAATAAATGTTACTGTTATTATTAGTACTAGGCATTTTCTTTTTACTCTGATTGTTCTTCTGTTTAAAGTAGTGTAAATAGACATATACATTTTTGGCAGAATCATCTTTAAAAGTGAAAAAAGAAGAAAAGAAAAGAGTGCTTGATTACTCTGAAAATAATCAGCCACAGGTATGCAATCATGTATATTTCACACCCATTTTTCATGCTATTTTCCTTGCTTCAACAATTTAGATTAATCCAAATGAAATGTCTTTCACAATAGTCCTTTAGTATCCTAAGATGAATGAAAACTATTTAATAGTGAGGAAAGAAATTGGTTGCTATGGTAGCCATAGGATCAAAAATTCAATACAATTTAATGCAATTCCCATCAAAACACCAATCCTGTTTGCACAGAAGTATAAAAAATAGTTTTAAATTCATTTGGAAGAAAAAAAGACTCAAAATAGTTAAAGAAATTCCAAGTTAAAAAAGCAATGCTGGAGGCATCACAATACCTGACTTCAAATTATACTACAAAGCTATAGTTAACAAAAAATGATGGTACTGACATAACAAAGACACATAGATAAATGGTACAGAGGAGAAGACAAAGACAAACCCACACCCATGCAGGCATCCAATCCTTGACACAGGTGCCAAAAACATAATAGAGGAAACATAGCCTTTTTATCAAAAGGTACTGTGAAAACTGTTTTTCCAAGAGTAGAAGAATGTGACTAGTAACTTATTTCACAGCCTCTCCCCCAGATCAACTCAATAGTGGATCAGAGACCTAGGAATTAGAACAAAACCTATGTACCTTCTGAAAGAAAACATCAGGTCAACACCAGTAGAAGGTAGAAGATAAGACATAAGGTCTGAGTGGAAATCAATGAAATTGAAAATAAGTCGCTATGACTTTGGCATATGTACATTGCTTAGAATTGTGTATAGTCATTTCATTGTAGGTCCTGAAAAAGAACACTATAATTATTGCAACAGGTTTTCCCTCCCATAAAGATTTAAGTACTCTTTTACAAATGGGGTTTAGTAACTTGTATGAATTTTATTTTTTGGAAAATGACAATAACAAAATCATATTTCTATCAAATAATGCAAGTGCCATTATTCATTTTGTTTTCACTGTAAGAAGGCATGATCTAAATTTAATTCTTTGTTTTGAGACTATTAGTAGTATTGTTCTTGATTTTTTAATATTATTCTTTTTGTTTACACTTGAATCTCTGTTGTGGAACATGGACATAAAATTTATGGATACAAGAAATAAATTAAAAATATGCAGATTTTATATATAAAAGATAATAGTCTTGTTGCATTTTACATACTTAGTATTTGTCTGAGAGAATAATATGTGTTTCTTTTTCTTTATTAGGCACACTGAGAAAACATCTAATTTAAAGAGCAAGGTATTGTTACAAATAATACAAGATAATATTTATTGATAAAATACATTATGAAAGTCAAAGTGATGCAAACAAAAATATATTGTAGAAGGTAAAGTGAAAGAATGGATAATTTTTTTGCTATGTACAGCTTTTCAATTTGAAAATTAGTAAGACAAAATAACCATTGATAAAGATTTGTTTTTTGACAGAAATTACTTCTTTGAAAAACTACCTGTGCTTTTGCTTATATACCATGGTAGATAATTGTCACCTGTATGTATTGAGTCTATGTTATATGTATTTGGGGTACACTTTGATATTGGATTATTGTTTATAGGTCAAAAAATGCTATGGAAGACCTTGATGAATAAGAGCCAACTTTAATAGCCTCAATGGCCTTTCAAGTGACTTGCCCTAATTATAAGGATATTTGGGCATACATTGAAAAACCAAGCACTTCATATGAAAGTAGGACCTTTGCATAATGATGTACACTACAGTAATAGATACACACATTACTTAGCACTGAACCATAGAACACTGATGTGTTAGAGTACTGTTCATTTCAGAAAGGTGCTTTGCATTAAAATATAATGAGAAGTGTGATACACTCTTAAGTAAACATCCCCACTGCACTTTGTGAATGGCACCCCACTCCTTTTGTTGGCTCTGTTGCTCCCTTGGGCCTGGAGGATGATCATATCAGCTTGTCATTATCTCTACATGAATTCTGTAGTAACTTTAGATCTCCTTTCCCTGCTACCCACCTCCTCAAACTGTGTTTTTTTCTGCACCAAATCATATACTTTAAAAAATTCAGTTCTGATATTGCTTACCCCTTCCTTAAAACCCAAGTATAAGATTAAAGACCTCAACCCTCTAGCTTTCTCCTGTTTTCCTGTGTCTGGATCCCAATCACTAAGGTGTTTCTTCTTACAATACAGCTTTTTGTTTTCAGAAGATTTAATGAGGTATTATTGACATACATAAGCTGCACATATAAAAAAATGTGCAATTTGACAAGTTTTGACCCACATGTTAAACACATGTTGAATAGCCATAATCAAGATAGTTAAGAAATCCTGTAAAAGTCTTCTCATGTTACTTTATATGCCCTTAATAAGATACTGCCCAACTTATTTTTCAATGTATTTCTACCATTTTCCATGCTAATCAACATGGATTAGTTGGATGGTAATCATAGTCAAGTAGGGTGTGCTTTGAGGGGGTAGGTCACTTGGGGACTACCTGTTGAGTGAAGCTCTAACCGTTTTCTAGTAGGTGGCCTGTTATGAACTGCTTTCCTTTACCAAGTCTTTCTTCCATGATGTTCTGCCTCACCTTGGGCCCTGAGCTGTGTAGTAAGTTGTGTATGGACTATGACTTCTGAAACCTTGAGCCCCAAATACATTTTCCCTTCTCTACATTTTTCACATCAGATCTTTGTGTCACAGTGAGAAAACCTAAATAAGACAATTCCCAGGAATTTTAATTTTTTTTAATTTTTAAAATTTTTCTTAATTTTAATGGGATAGATTTCCTCATTTTTTGTCTTAGCAGAAGTATTTTTCATGTACAGAAAAGCTTTTGATTAATGATTGTTGATCTTGTTACTAGCTGTTTTGCTGAATTCTCTATCAGCAAATAAGTCCTCTGGTGGAGTTTTTTTTGGGTTTTCTAGGATAGGATGATGCCAATAGCAAAAAGATAATTTGAATTCTTCTTTTCCTATTAATAGACCTGTAATGTTCTTCTCTTGCCTGATGGTTCTGCCTTGAGTTTCAAAACATACATTGAATAAGATTGATAAAATTAGACATCTTTTCTTTGCTCCTAATTTTAGAGAAAATGTTTTCCATTTTTTTCTGCAACATAATGTTGGTTTTGGCTTTGTGATATATAGACTTTATACTGTAAGTTTCCTCCATGCCTAATTTCTTTATCATTTTTAATATGAATGGGTGCTACATTTTTATCAAAGCTTTTTCTGCATCTTTTGAGATGATCATATGATTCTTGTCCTTCATTCTATTTATGTGGTGAATTACATTTATTGATTTGCCTATGTTGAACCAACCTTGCATTGCTGGGAGTAAAACAACTTTTTCATGGTATGTTAACTTCTTGATGTGTTTTTGAATGCTATTTGCTAATATTTCATTAAAGATTTTTACATGTATGTTCATCAGGGGTATTTTTCTGTAGTTTTCTTTATTGAATATGTCAGGATTATACTGGTTGCATACAATGTATTTGGGAATGTTCCTTTCCTCTAAGTTTTGTGGAAGAATTTGACAAAGATTTGTGACTGTTCTTCACTAAGAGTCTATTAGAACTCAGCAGGGATTTCATCTGGTCCTGGCTTTTCTTTGTTGAAAGACTATCCTTTGCTGTTTCAGTTTTATTACTTGATATTCGTTTGTTTTCATTTGGATATATTCCTGGTGCAATTTTGGCAGCTCATATGTGCCTATAAATTTGTCAAGGTTTCCAGATCTTCCAGTTTATTACAGTACAAATTTTGCAAGTAGTTCCTAATGATCCTCTGGATTTTAGAAATATTGCTAATGGTATCTCATTTTCATCCACAATTTTGTTGAGTTGTGTCCTTTTTTGTTAGTTTGACTAAGGGTTTATTGACATTATTTATCTTTTGAAAAAGCTGCCTTCGTCTCTTTGATCCTATGCCTTTTTTTATTCTCAACTAATTTCATCTCTAGTGTTGATTATTTACTTATTTGGGAATTAGTTTGTTCTTCCTTTTCTAAGACCTTGAAAGTTGGAACATTATTTTATTTATTTGGAAACTTTCTATTTTATTAGTGAAGTCATTCAGTACCATTAATTTTCTTCCCAAAACCGACTTCATAATGTCCCAAAGATTTTGATATGTTGTATTTCTGTTCTGATTTTTTGGCAAATATTTCTTTGTTTATTCTCTCATTTCTTTAATATTCCAGTCCTCTTTTAAAAGAGTATTTTTTTATTTTGTTCTGTTTATGTGATTCCTCTTATTTTCCTTGCTATTGACTTCTAGTTCCATTTCATTATGATCTGATAGAATGTGTATAATTATATCAGGTTTATTTTATTTTTGCAATGACTTACATTGTGACCTAGAATATGGTTTATTTTGAAAAAGGTTCCATGCATTGTTAGGAAGATAGTGAATTCAGCTATTTTGTGGTGAAATATCCTGTAGCTATTAGGTACATTTGAATGATAATATTCTTTAGGTCAAAATATCTATTTTCACCCTTGCATATTCTGTCTGATGGTGACAAGGATATTTTTAAATTCCCTAATTATTTGGGGTCTATCTGATATTTAATGTCAAGAAACATTATTAGTTTATTTATGTATATATTTAGGTATATATGACAGCAGAATATATGTAATTCACTGTATGCAGCATAAGTTTTCATTTATCTGGTTGTACATGATGTAGTGTCGCACTATATGTGCAGTCATATATGTCCCCAGGGTGATGATGTCCATCTCATTCCACCATCTTTCCTGTCCCCATGCCCCCTCACCTTTCAACCCTCTTGTTTACCCAAAGATCCTTTACTTTTCCCATGTCCCTCCCCCAATTGAGGATTAGCATCCATTTATCTGAGAGAACATTCAGTCTTTGGGTTTTTTTTTTGTTTTGTTTTGTTTTTTTTTTTTGCTTACATTGCTTAGCATGATATTCTCCAACTCCATTCATCTCCCTGAAAATGCCATAATTTTATTCTCCTTTAATGCTGAGTAATATTCTATTGTGTGCATATACACTTATCTATTAAAGTACATCTAGGTTGGTACCACAGTTGAGCTATTGTGATTTAAAGAAGCATTGTTTTTATGTAATTAGAGTCACTATAATTTCAGGCATACATAATTTCTATTGATATATTTTCTTGTTGAATTGAAATTTTACTAGTATAAAGTAGCATTCCCTGTCTCTTGTGAGTTTTGCTTCAGATCTGCTTAAATTTTGGAATTTAAGAATGGAAACATTTTCCAGGAGTTTACTTTCAGTCTATGAGTGTTTGTCATGGTTTGGATGTGAGGTGTCCACCACAAGCTCGTGTGTGATACAGTCCAAGAAGGCTCAGAGGAGAAGTGATTGAGTTGTAAGAGTGTTAACACAGTCCACGATTGAATCTCCTGATTGGGATTAAGTATTTGGTAACTGAAAGCTGATAGGATGGGGCTAGAGGACTTGAGAATTGGGGAGTGGCTTTCAGTATATATTAGTAGGCAGCAAGTGGACCCTTTCTGCTTCCTGATCATAACTTGAGCTATTTCCTTTCAACACATTCTCCCACCATGATACTCACCTTTGCCTCAATCCTCTATGCATGGATCTGGCCTTCTATTGTCTAAGATTTCAGAAAATGTAAGCCCTCAAATAAAACCTTCCTCCTCTACAGTTGTGTTGGTCAGGTCATTTAGTCAGAGCAGGGAAAAAGCTGACTAATACAGTGGCTTCGAATATGAGATGAGTTTCTTTGAAACAACATCTAGTTGGATCTTGTTTTCAAATCCATTCTACCAATATGTGTCTTTTATTTGGAGAGTTTAGAACATTTACATCAAGAGTTATAGAAAGATGTTTGATAGTTTCTGCCATTTCTTTGCTATATTGTATTTTGTCTTGATTTTCAGTAGTTGATTGCTCTTCTATTTGATAATTCACAGAGTTCAAACCTGTGCTATGCAAGAGTCACCATACTCTTTGGTTACTTTCAGTTTGCCTCCTAAAAGTGCAATTTGTTTTGAAAAATATCTTTCAGGCCTCTTCTGCTTTTTCATTATATTTTGGAATTTAGTTAGGTTACATATAAACAGCTTGACCCTTGATGATCTTGTTTTTATGCTTTGTTAGATCATCTGTCTAGGCTGAATTCTCTACTGTAAGTCTTCTCCACTAGACTTTAAGCTAAAGGAGGGCAGGGTCCTCAGCTGCCATAGGTACTCTTTACACATTTGTTCAGTGTATGAGGGAGTAGTACATGGGGAGATGTAGAATCCCTCTCAGATGAAAATACTCAAATATTTTATTTCTGTCTTGTTTTCTCTATGATGCAGATCCTCATAGCCTACCAAAAATCCAAAAAGCATTTGATTCATGTCAAAGAATAATAGAACTTGACAAAAGTCACTGTTCACAGTGTTTATTACATATACAAGAAGTGGAAAAAGGAGAAAATAAACTTTGTGGAATGAAAGAGAAATTATCAGAAATGGAAAATATGAAATCTAAGTTAGAGCAGAGAGAAATAAAATGGAAACAAGAACTCTGTCACTTGAGGTATGATACCCTAGATTGAAAGAAGGTTTGAACTCTTTTCTTCACACTGAAGATACATAGGGAATTTTTTAATTGCTGACTTACCTGTTGGTATTTTGCAAAGGAGAAAACTACTTATACTTGTAGAATCTGAAATCCTTACAAAAAGGTGACATATTGCTAACTATGATTACTTCTAATAACCAAATTCATGTTATTTCCAATCATAATATCAATGGCTATATGGAAATCTCACTATAAAAGGAATCTCACTATTGATTTAAAAAGCAGAATTGGGGATTGTTTTTCATTCATATTTTTACTTTTTGTATTACAATCAATGTTTCACTGAACCTCATTTACAAAAGTTATTATTTCCATATTTTTGTTGAGTCATTACACTTGTTTAAATGGTGGGATTTTTGTTACATATTCATGTTTACACACTATGTGACTATATAATTTGGTCTATATTATTCCCTACCTTTTTGCTTTACCCCCTTCTCCTTTTACTTCAATGAGCTCCTTTGATCTCCCTGAGACCACCCCATGCCTTTCTTTTACTTTGCCTTTCTAGTTACCACATCGGAGAGAAAAAATATGAAGGTTAAACTTACAAATATGACTTAATATGCATAAAAAATTGTCTCAGTTTCCATCCATTTCCTGAATCTGACCTAATTTCATAGAAATTAATGTTTATTTTCCTTAGTTAGAATACATTTTTCAATATAGAATTATTTGGGAAAAGAATAGTAACTTCATGAACAGATATTTGATCAATATTTCTAAATTGCTCTCGGGACAGTTTATAGTAATTTATATTTTCACCAAAGAGAATGAAATGGCCATTTTTTAAAAAAATTGTTCTAATTAATTACACATGACAGTAGAATGCATTTTGAGACATTGTACACAAATGGAGACAAGTTCTTCCTATGGCTGAACGTGCCATATCAGTAATGTAATCATACATGTATATGGAGTAAGAATATCCATCTGATTCCACCGTTATCCCATCCCTGCAAACCCTCCCCTCTCCTCACTCCCCTCTACACAATCTAAAGTTCTTTCATTCTTCCTCACACACCCATTACCCATTATGGAATAACATCCACTTATCAGAGAAAACATTTGGCCTTTGTTTTGGGGAGTTTGCCTTATGAAAAAGTCATTTTGTGCACCCCAAAATGTGTTTTTAAATATTTATGCAGTTTTTTTTTTTTCTGGTGCTTGGGATCAAACCCAAGGGTTGGCTCAAAGTATGCTTCTGCTGAATTACACCCTGGGCTATGGATGGAATCCTAACATCTATTAAACAAAATGTGAAATGGAAAGTAACATTTTTAAAAATTTCTCCCTCATTTGTAATAAAATTTGTTTAAATTTCTATGTTGAAAGGACACGTATTCTTTATCATTGGAATAAATATTAGGTTATGCCTTGTTCCAAAAGGGATTGTGAGTTCTTTATAAAATATATAATGGTAAACAAGCGAAATTGAAAGTGTTACCTAAAAGAAACATTAAAAGGGGAACAACAGGAATTGGACCCCTTAGCCTGGTCTTCAGTTATGGTAATGTGCAGACATATGCTGTCTGAACAACTTCTGAAGGTGGTATGTTACAATGGCAATCAATTGCAGTAGTTGCTATTTTATTCATAAATATAAAAGCTAAATACTAATGAATTTATAAACTTGTTTATAAACAATTAGTCTTTAAAACTCTCTTAACTAAGGAAGAGTTATAACAATGCAAAAATGATATTTTTTTTTATTTGTTTTGTTTTGGCAATGTTTGGGATGGAACACAGGGGCCCCAGCAGGCACGCACTCTGAGGATTCCCCTCCCAAATTATTTCAAACACTCAATTTATGGATACATTTCAAGAGTCCCTTTCCATAATATCTACTGAAGTTACTAGTTACTAGTAAGTTACTAGCCTTTTCCCAACTGACAGAAAAATATTTCATTATTAACTTTCATGTTTAAATGTTTCCAAAAAGATTGAAGGAGAAATTTAAAGAGGTGAGAACTAGAAAGAAAAAAAATCATAGAACATAGAATTTTTTATTAGCCTAATGAATTAACGTATGAAGAACAAGAACACAAAATGCACCATTTGTTTTCTGATTAAAAGCATTTTAAGATAACCATATTTAACTGCAGGCATGATTTAAAAGAAAAAGAGAAGAAGTTAAGAGATTTTGATCAGCTTTTGGAAAAAATGAATAACCAGTTAAGAGAAAAAGATGAGAAACATAATAAACAAATTGAATTGAACAAAGAATTTCAACTGTCTT